AGCCTGCCTGTTATCATAATTTTAATTAACTGTTCTATGCCAAAAACAACAACGAAACGTTAATTATTTACAATTATTCGACACAACATTAGCCTGAGGGTTTATTTGCACTGATAAAACCATATGAATCTGATTCGATGTATCAAAAAACTCAATAGCCAGATTTTGGGATATAGGTTTATTTGAACAAAACATTAAAAATATTAACACTAATTTCCTTTCCATATTTTTCTGAAACGATTCCGTTTACGGTGCGTCAGGTGAACAAATGCAATTTTCTAAAGCGCCTAATGAACAAATGCACACAATGATTGAACACCACTCTTATTTAAAGCAAAATCAGTTTACTATCCTTACGCTGCAAGTACACCCCACAGAATGTGGCATACTGTTGAAATGTGTGTCTTCAAAAGAGGCCTATGGTGATTAAATATTAAAGAGTCTAGGATGAGCATGTTTTTCGCCCAGTTCTGGTTTTCTTCCTGCTCGCCATGAAATTCATTTAGGCTTTAACGCACAGCACGTTGCGTTCTCTTATTCTCAGACGCTGTTGCGCCGTTCCAAATGAGCAAGTCGCAGTTAGATCGCGCATTTGGCAATAATGAGAAGGTGGTAGAGCTGTCTGCTGGGTGTGTGTGTTCATTGAGGTTTGACAGCCGTGCTCCGCTGCAGATCTATTCATCATACCCGCAAGGACTGCCTCTCTCTCTCTCTCTCTCTCCCCTCTGTCCTCAGTTTATACAGAACAGAATCATTTACATAAAGTCCTTAAGGCAAATAACTGTTGGGGGCTCTAATTTATATCTGATCGAAAATTAGCCGTCATTATGCGCCCCATTAGCCGCGTCTTTAATGTGCTTCTAAGCACCATTTGTCAAGCAGCTTGTTAATATCCTTCAAGTCTTTAAAGTTGAGAGCTCATTAAAAGACTCTGCGCCCTGGTATTGATGCTATTTTATAAAATTCTGCAAAGCGTAAAGGACCGTTTAAAAGTTTTCTCTTTCTCCTACTGAATGATGTATGGCTTCCTGAGCACTACCTCCAAAGGCATTATTTGTATAATTGGAAAAAAAAAAAAAAAAAAAAAAACGTTTATGCTGTTTAACTGTGGAAAATATTACATGTTAAATTAAAATGTTTGAAACTGAATAGTTTCACAGAGGTGTAATAATCGTAAAACATCTTAAACAAAACAAATCACTAATGCATGTACGAATACACAAGTTCACAATGTCTTGAACTCCTCTCTCTCTCGCTCTCGCTCTCGCACGCACACACACACACACACACACACACACACACGTGTAAAATAACATTGGCCAAAGGCGATAGAGTTTTAAGCATATATGATTAAATGGATAAACCAATAATTGTGATGATAATGAGTTAAATACAAAATCTAGAATAATAAAACCATAATGCAGACCTTTATGCTTTGAAAATATTGATAAATAATATTAGCGTAACAATAAAAAATAACAATAATACTACAGGGAGAAAACTACTGCCAATTCTACTGCAACAAATAAGTTATTAACAGATTTAGCTTTTGTACAGGTCTGTCACGTCTCACAATATTTAGCCTAGCCTGCCTGTTATCATAATTTTAATTAACTGTTCTATGCCAAAAACAACAACGAAACGTCAATTATTTACAATTATTCGACACAACATTAGCCTGAGGGTTTATTTGCACTGATAAAACCATATGAATCTGATTCGATGTATCAAAAAACTCAATAGCCAGATTTTGGGATATAGGTTTATTTGAACAAAACATTAAAAATATTAACACTAATTTCCTTTCCATATTTTTCTGAAACGATTCCGTTTACGGTGCGTCAGGTGAACAAATGCAATTTTCTAAAGCGCCTAATGAACAAATGCACACAATGATTGAACACCACTCTTATTTAAAGCAAAATCAGTTTATATCCTTCAAGTCTTTAAAGTTGAGAGCTCATTAAAAGACTCTGCACCCTGGTATTGATGCTATTTTATAAAATTCTGCAAAGCGTAAAGGACCGTTTAAAAGTTTTCTCTTTCTCCTACTGAATGATGTATGGCTTCCTGAGCACTAGGCAGGACACACCATTTCCAGTCTGAAAGTCAACAAGACAGGTATTTAGCGGGAAATCACATCTAATTTTTCGCATTGTTAAGTAAAATTATGAGGATATCACAAAATCATGTAGGCTAATTGGGTTCTGGCAGGTGAATTAAGTTCTAACACGCAGTATAACCGACTTGAAGGTTTGCAAAAATTACTTTGAATCTAAATCATAAATTGCATTCGTAAGTAATTAAGAAAATAACCCTTTAAACACATATAGCATACATTCTAAAAGTCGTACCAATTCAATAGAAAACATTTCGCATTGTACATTGTATATATACTGTCTTTTATTTCTCACCTTATCACATATTCAAATACCGCACGTATGTAACTAAAACTGTTAACAGGCATAAAAAGAAAAAAGAAAAAAATCTTCAGATAAGGCGCCACATAGTGAGCCTTGTCTGATTTCTCCTAGAAATAGTTGACCCCCTAAAAAGTCACTGTATAATTCGCACATTGTCAATAGGTAATGTGTTCCTTATCATGATCTGTCGGCCATAATTAGGCACGTGCCGGGTGCTGTCTGCCCGTGGGTGGGATTTAACGGGTCCTTATTATTAGTTAAAAACTCAAAGCGTCCCGTCGTTGCTTCCGTGGACTCCTCCAGGCTAAAGCAATAAAGCGCGTAATTAGAATGCTAAAGACAGATGTAAATAAAAGCAATGAGACAGCGGTGAGAGATGAGGCGCTGGGGTCAGGTTCTCATCAAAAACCCAGTTGGTGTGATGACACGACGCCCGGCCATGCGCCAGAGGCCCGGGGCTACAGCGACAGACCACAGGCAGAATGTGCTAAATGACTTCGATGGAGTGCGCATACAACCTAAAAACGTGTGTGTGTGTGTGTGTGTGTGTGTGTGTGTAGCATTTAGACAAAACAAGACTATCAGTTTTGTTCACTTTCTTTTTTCGGTTATATAGTGAGCTTTAATTCCTTCACATTATCATAGAGTCTCATTGTAATGTCACACCCTCAATTGATGTA